ATGGGATTCTGGAGCTGATGAATGGGGTTGAAAATGGGATTCTGGGGCTGATGAATGGGGCTGAAAATGAGATTCTAGAGCTAATCAGTGGGGCTGAAAATGGGATTCTGGAATTGAGAAGGGGTGAGAATGGGATGCTGATTTGTGGGGATGTAAATTGGGTTCTGGAACTAATCAATGGGGCTGAAAATGAGATTCTAGAGCTAATCAGTGGGGCTGAAAATGAGATTCTAGAGCTAATCAGTGGGGCTGAAAATGAGATTCTGGAGCTGATGAATGGGGTTGAAAATGAGATTCTAGAGCTAATCAGTGGGGCTGAAAATGGGATTCTGGAGCTGATCAGTGGGGCTGAAAATGGGATTTTAGAGCTGATGAATGGGGCTGAAAATGGGATTCTGGAGCTGATCCGTGGGGCTGAAAATGGGATTCTGGAATTGAGAAGGGGCTAGTATGGAACTCTAAAATTGATCAGTAAGGATGAAAATGGGATGCAAGAGAAGGCCAGTTGTTTGAATGCTATAGGGCTGGGAGCCCAGTAACACGAACCCATCTTGAGTCTCATCATTAATGGTAATGAGGTACCTAATCAATCAGTAATGTGAGTATTTGTCCCATTACAGCGAAGGTTAAACTGATAAAGCCATTGATGCTGTGACTGACTGATCTCGGTCTCACTAACACAAGCAGACCACAGTCACCATTGGCCAGTTGTTATTGGCTGAAGATCATTTGGTACATGATGTGATACACAATGATACAAAAATTGTAAGTGAGTGAGTGAGAGTTTACACTGCATTTAGCAATATTCCAGCAATATCGTGGCAATGGGCACCAGAAATGGGCCTCACACACTGTACCCATGTGGGGAATAGAACTTGGATCTTTGGCTTGATGAGTGAACGCTTTAACCACTAGGCTACCCCACTAGAAGTTTGTCATGAAGTTGTGTATGATACAAAATGAATACTGGTTGAAGCATTTGTATTCTCTCGCCTTTCTTCCGGTACATTATTTGTATGGTGATTAAATTATGTAAATATTATGGAGAGCGTATGACATTACTTACTTTACACAATACCAATAAGTATCATGAATAAGTTATGTTTAATCCATAAAAACTATATTGAAACAACACCAACTTATGAAAAATGTAGGGCAAGCTCATCGATCATATGGAAAAACGTGTCTTGAAGACAAACGACTTGATGAAGCATTGAACAATGGCATGCAGCATTGAACAAATCATGCTGAGTGGCCAGTAGAAATGTATGACCCTAGTTGCAGCAGTGGGTCAGTGGGCAGTGAGGGTGCAGTATTTCACTGTTCAATACAGGGTCTTGCATTGGTTACATTGCCATCAATCCATCTTGTACATGTTAGATTACACCAGGTCAACAAGTCATGGCTGTAGAGGATAGCTGCAGTATCAGTATGTCACGGTTGTCATAGTTACAAGTATCATTGCATTGCAGGACTAAGTATCTGTACATTGTTACATTGTGGTACTTGTGTCCTAGGTTCAAACATTTCATACGTCAAAACATTGCTGCACTGTTGTCATAGAAACAGGCATGAGCATATTGCAGCACTGTTGTCACAGAAACAAGTATCATTACATTTCAGTACTGTTGTCACAGAAACAAGTATCATTACTTTTCAGTACTGTTGTCATAGAACCAAGTATCTGTACATTTCAGTACTGTTGTCATAGAAACAAGTATCATTACATTTCAGAACTGTTGTCATATAAACAAGTATCATTACATTTCAGAACTGTTGTCATAGAAACAAGTAACATTACATTTCAGTACTGTTGTCATAGAAACAAGTAACATTACATTTCAGTACTGTTGTCATAGAACCAAGTATCATTACTTTTCAGTACTGATGTCATAGAAACAAGTATCATTACTTTTCAGTACTGTTGTCATAGAAACAAGTATCATTACATTTCAGCAGTTGTCATAGAAACATTTTTTCAGTACTGTTGTTGTCATAGAAACAAGTATCATTACATTTCAGTACTGTTGTCATAGAACCAAGTATCATTACATTTCAGTACTGTTGTCATAGAAACAAGTATCATTACTTTTCAGTACTGTTGTCATAGAACCAAGTATCTGTACATTTCAGTACTGTTGTCATAGAACCAAGTATCATTACATTTCAGAACTGTTGTCATAGAAACAAGTAACATTACATTTCAGTACTGTTGTCATAGAAACAAGTAACATTACATTTCAGTACTGTTGTCATAGAAACAAGTATCATTACATTTCAGTACTGTTGTCATAGAAACAAGTATCATTACATTTCAGAACTGTTGTCATAGATATGAGTATCCTACATCGAAGCACTGTTGTTTTCCATATGATTATCAATGTATTGTAGTACTGTTGTCATAGATACAAGTATCAGTACCTCAAAGTACTTTTGTCCTATTCAGGTAGCAATGTTTGCCATTAGAAATGTTTTAATTGAAAGTTTTCTTTAGTGTGTAAGAAAAAAAAAGGATTACATATCAGTACTGTTTACGCTAGGATTACCTCCTGACTAAGGGACCATTCATAATTTATGGCTAGGGGGCTAATGATGATTTTTAAGGGGGGGGTCACCCATTTTGTTCTGGGAAGGGTATGGGGGTCATCAATTATGTACACATGTACTAGTGGGGAGGGGTGTCAGCAATTTTGTACATAATGATATTTGAAAATGATGCTTAAAAATTAGGGGGTGGGGTGTCATAAATGTAAATAAATTTTAGGAGGGGTCATTCACATTGTCCATGCTTCTCCATAAAAATCATCATACCCCCCAACTGCCTTCACCCCACCCCCATCCTCCACCCCCCTAACTGTCTTCCCTTGTTGAGTGTCCGCCTTTGTTATCACTGCTGTTGTCACATATACTGAGCTATCAGTTTTCCATTCACCTCATAAAGGAGTAATAATATACTCTAAAACATTGTGTTCCTAACATTTCAGAAGCTGACATCCAGAAATGTTCAACTTTTATGTGTATCGCTTCTAAATATTATTCGAAGACTTTACAAGAATGAACAGAACAAATATTTTTATACCTGTACGAATAATATGGATTTACTCCTTTGGAATTATTTAATTTTCTATCATTTCATTTAAAATGAAGCTCCAGTGACATGGGGAATTCAGAACCTGAACATGAGCCATATGTAGACCTGATTCGTGTAGAGCTATAACATACAGGTCTGGACAGAACAGAGATTTAATTTGTTTCATGCAGTGAGAGACTACATGAGATGATATATTCTTGGCAATGAAATGTGAAACCCGTTAACAGTTCAACGTACTCTGTTTTCTAATTAGAGATTTCCCACTTAGATCTGGTACTAGTAAATGTCATTTGGTAAAGTACATCAATATTTGAAACCTGTAATTTGAAAACGATTTTGGTTCATCTCCATTTTACAATGAGAAAATAGCAAAATGAATGTGAACATCTTTTGATGTGTGTGTTCGTGATGGGAGAACAGGGGCTGAGTGGAATATGTGCAGTGATCATTGATCATGAAGTCGGGGATTATACATTGATGATTTGATTATAACAGTGTTTGTTTATGCATTACGTAAGGACCATTGAATATTGCTTCATCCAATTTTTATTATATATGAGTCTGGTCATAAACTTGTGTCTTTTGTTCTTAATGCATGTTTCTAATTTTTAATTAACTTTTCTGATTTCCATGACAACAAATTGGACTTTAGTTTGCAGAGCATAACTCACATATTTTTCTATATTTATTCATTGAATTATTTCCGGAGATACCAGTCTCGCCTTGCACTGATTCGTTTGCTTTTAAATTTAAAAAAAAAAAATCTTATGTTTATATCTGTCCAGTTTTCAGGACAACAAACGCCAAAATATGAATTTTTGATGAGCCATTTACCAGTGAAGGTCCGGGTTAGAATTGGTCTTCAGCAACCCATGCTTGTCGTAAGAGGCAACTAACGGGATCGGGTGGTCAGGTTCACTGACTTAGCTGTCACATGTCATCGTATCCCAATTGCGTAGATTGAAGCTCATGATGTTGATCACTGGATTGTCTGGTCCAGACTCGATTATTTACAGACCGCAGCCATATAGCTGGAATATTGCTGAGTGCGGCGTAAAACTAAACTCACTCATTCATGTGTATGTTAATGGTTTGGGAATTTATTTCTTGCATCTAATTCATTGTCATTGAGGCTGTAGAGCATTAGTTCCAGGCAACCTTTGTGTCCTGGGGTTGGAGACTTACACTGAACATTCCCCTGGAGGGAGGGAGAGTATTCATGCTTGTCTTGTGTGTTTCAAACCATCTCTATCCCAACATTAGAGGGAGATGGCAAGTTAAAGAAAGCTAGAAGTGAAAAACAACATTCAAAATAGGTTGTCAATTTTTTAGGTTCACTCCCATTTGTCAGACGGCCCAATCATCAGACAGTCCAGTCAAGTGTGACCAGTGTAACTGCCTGGACTTACCCACTAACTAATGAGCTGCTCCAAACTGTGAACAGAGTAGGCTACTCCCCGCTCTCAAGTTTGTTAAGTGATACAGATTAACCAGAATATGATTGTGTTTGTAAGTTGCTTTTGATCAGTGTGACGGGGTGGCATGTGTTGTAGTAACGACATTTGGAGTTGTTTGTTCAACTATATGGAATACAGGAAGTACGAGAGGCTCAGTACAGATAAATCAATAGGTTTTAACTGAATTTGTTTTGCATTTTTTTATTACTTAAGTGGATTGAACTTCTCCAAAACATAAGTATAATCTTACATGTACTATACATGTATAACATGAACTCTAAAGTCAGTAAGATATTGCTGCAATGGCTGGTATACGCAGAGTTGAATTCATTGAGTCTCAGAGAGGAACCCCACAAATACTTCTTGATGGCTGACAATATTGGACTCTACTCTAATATAATCAGTTCTGGCTGGTTTCATACTGATTTGCTTACTTGTACTGGATGTGATCATTATTCTTATTATCATTATTAGTAAAAAGTCTTCCCTGATTTCTTACATTTCTGATTACTGTTAGTCACCAGTTTTATGGGCCATTCCTATTTCATTAAGAGGTAACAGGCAGGGGATCTGTATTGTTATTATCATTATTATTAAATAGTCTTCCCTGAATTCTTACATTTCTGATTTCTGTTATTTGTTTTGGGCCATTCCTATTTCACTAAGAGGTAACAGACAGGGGATTAGCTGTGCACTCAACCAGATAGTTTGTTGTTTTAACCTGTCTGACAAATGGCATGTCTGACAAATGGGAGGAAACCTTTTTTAACATTACCATTAGTGCACTAACTCTGTCTACATGGTTGTTGTGCTATATAATCAGTATGGTGGCTACATGTGGTTGTTTAGAGCATACTTATTGTTTTATAATTTGGTGCTAGGACATTTTCTGTTTGGAAATAATAATGTCATGAATATAAATGTTTTTTGTTTTTTTATATAATTTCTTTTTGACTTTGTGATCAAAATGTGTTTGAATACAGACTTTATCTTGTCACTATATATGGCTGGAATAATGCTGATGTGACGCAAAACCCAACTCAACTGTTGAGAGCTTACAACATGGAGAGTGAGTGAGTTATTATTTAACGTCACATCGGCAATATTTCAGCCATATTGACAACATGGAGAGACAAGATGCTACACTGAAACTTTTTGTAATGCATATTGGAAATTTTGCACTCTTGCCTGGTAAAGTTCCTTTTGGCTTACAGGGATGGCAATTTTCCAAGGATTTCCGCGGATTTTATTTCAAATTGTTCGATTGTGAATCGTCTAAATCCATTGAGAAACCCCCATTCAATGACACAATATTAAGTTTTCCGCTGAAAATAGATTTTCATGTTGCCATCCCTGGGCTTAGTAAGTTTTGCTGAAAAATTTCCATACATTAACGCTAAGATTGATGGAAAATGGTGTCAAGTGACAGGCTCGGGCTTGTAGAGTCAATATGATTTGACACAGGTAAGTAAAGTCAATGTCCTTCAGAGAGCCATAAAAATACCGCAAGGATATTTTATGAAACTCATTCAATGTGATTCCTAAATGAGACCATAAAAATTGAGTCGTATCAATGGGTGGACATAAAAATCTTATTTTATGTTTTTAAGTTAGTTAGTACTTTAGGGTCTGTGGGAGATACAAGCAAGATACACGAATGGATGCATAACAGTAAATTTGTGAAATAATCTTCAGGTGCTTGGTTCTTTTTGTAACTTCTTCTAACAACAGTGTAATAACAGGTTTGCCTGGAGTGAGTGAGTGAGTATTTTGGCAGAATGGTGGATGAAGGAGTAGAATGGCAGGAACACCAAAACCAAGCTTCAAACACAGTACCTATGGGGGGAGAAAACAAACAGCAAACCTACTACACCACCCTGACCCATTGTAAGGAAGGCTGAGGTTTGTATAAACATCATAGGATCTTAACACAGGCATAATAAATACGCATTTACTCTGACATCACGAAACATCTTTCACTTGAGTGTATGAGTACTTATGTGAGAATTGTTTTTCACAGTTTTATCAATATTCAAACAAAATCATTGCAGGGGCCAAACAGAAATAGGCTTGAACCTGAGTATTCGGCATGACAAGCAAACGCTTGAACCAGGGGGGCTACCTGAACATTCCCAATTGATAGGAATGCAGCTTTGAAATATAATGGGATGGTGGAGTAGCCCAGTGGTTCAAGTATTTGCTAGTCATATGTGAGTTTGACTCCAAATAGGGTCACATTGTGTAAAGACCATGTCTGGTGTCCACTAACATGTCATTAACTGAATATTTTTAAAAGTGGCACAAAGCCTGAATCATATGGTAACTGTACATTTAAGAAAGGTTCACATTAAGATGCTGGATATTATTGAAGTAATGCTAGGCATGCCACTCACTCACTCACCCACTCACTCTGCATCAAGTGCTTGATATGCCTGATCCAGTACTAAACATAATATTTTATATTAATATATTAATATTATTATATTAATACACTAATATCGACTGACACCATGTGTTCTTGAAGTAGATGAAGTATGCATGTGGGTCAATATAACTTTAAACATTTTCGTCAATATTCCAGTAATATCACTGCTGGTAATACCAAAAATTGGCTTCACATTTTGTACCCGTAGGAAAACAACCCTCCATCTTCGACACGATGAGCAAACAGCAACTAGACCATGACTTTTCCTACAGAGCCATTGTGAAATTCAGTCAATACATGAATGAGGCTATTGGCAACATTTTCTAATTTTTCAGTTTACATATCAACAGTCGAGATCCTAAAACCACACATTAAATGACATAAAATAGTGAGAAATTAACTCAGTATAGTTCTATTCTGCAATTCTTCCTGTAATATCAGGACAGGGAACGACAGAAAATGGGTTTCACATGTTGTATCCATGAATGGAATCAAACTCGGACTGTAACCATGAGTAACCTCTACCTGTTTCCCCACCACTCAGACATAATGAAGAAACATTTACAATGATCTAACAAATCTGATAATTTTAGATCCGGTTATGTAATCATTGGTTACACATGAACATCTTCTCACTAAACTTACCAACCATTTCACAAGGAAAGATAGAAATCTGAAGTAACATTAAAAGTTTATCACCTATTTCACCAAGCTGATTTATCTCAGTCTGTGAACCATAAAAGGTGTAAATTTGTAGTGTTAATAAGAACCATTACCTTCAGCAGGGGCTTCCTCTTTGGGTTTATCGTACATCATGATGATCTGTCGCTCAACCTTGGATATATCACACGATTTGGGCACAGTTATTATAGTATTTCAATATCCACACCACTCTGAAATATCCCAGTGTCTGATAAACTCTGCAGTGGATGTCCTAGCCAACAGTCACTAAAATATCAAAGTTGGATCCTATTAAAATCAGAACCAATATGTCCCTACGGCAACACCTGTTAGGCTGTCATGGAATAAGTTCCAGCAGTTCTCAGACCATAGCGCCCAGTCTTGATTGGCACATCCTGAAATCACATCCCTATAACCTCCAACTAGCAGTGGTCACAATCATAGGAAACAAGCACCTTGCCCCAAGCACAACAAGCTTATGACAGCAGGCTCACTGTTGTATCCATAGATTTGTTTTAAAGAATATTATAAAATCCACTTTGAAAAGTAATATCCCACTGGTCAGTCCCTTTGAAATGTCCTGTTCACACTGGGCACCAAATCAATTCCGGCTTTTCATATTTAATTTCAATAGCCATCCAATAAATATTCAGTAAGAGACATTGCACATAAATATTTCCTAGTGAATTGTCCAGCAAGAAGCGGAACAATATCCTAGAACAATCTCCTCTATTTTGTGATAACGGTTATCACAGGAATTGGTCTATTACCACTGCCACTGTCCTGCAAGGCGAGAGTGAGACAGCGTGGAAGGCTGCTATAGCGCCAGGCAAGGCAGACCTGTACAAAATCCATTGATGCTTCCAATCAATAGACAGACCCAGCACTCCAGCCTTGGAGTATCACTAAATATCACTTCTGTACACCTAGGCATATGAAATTATTGATTGCATTAAGTACAGTAAGATTTCGAATAGATAATGGTTTGGAGGAACTGATGACAACACATTGTTTTGTTTTTGGTCCAGAGACCTGAAGATGGGAGGCAATTGATTAAACACAGGAAGAAATACTGGCCTTACATTGTGTTGTAGGAAGGAAGCTCGCTCACTCCATGCAGTTTGTCTTGCTACTTTACGTGTCTTGAGGAGCTTATTGAATATTTTAGCTATTAGCGTGTCACTGCTTCAGGTACTGGATTCTACTGCAATGATAACGTCCAAATTCAGCCGAAATATATCATCTGATGCTATAAGTTTCAGTCTGAAGGTACATAGTCAGATATTCTGTCATAGTCTGAATTTTCATACCTGTATGGTATGGCTCAATGTGTGTATTGTTTTAATACAGACATGTATGTGCCTTTGTATATTCATCTACCCTTTCAGAACCTTACAAAAACTAAACTGGAAGGTATGCAACCTACAACAAATGCTTTGTGTGAAACTTTTCCTCTGTAATCAGAATAAATTTTCAGAACTATTTGATATATGCTATAAACTTTGTGCTGGAATGTGAAGAGCGGGATGATTGTACAACTGCATTGAAATTATCTGGATTGATCAATGATTGGATTAGTGCTACCATTAACGTGCATTAGATTTATTCTATCTCACAATTTTCATTTTTCAGTGCAGTGTGGATTTACATATGTGTGTTTTATATCTGTGTATAGTCCGAACTGTGGCACAGATCTTGTTAGTATCCCACAAGGTGTATACTACTAAGCTTTATCTAGGCGCGATTTATTGTAATCTCAGCCCAGGCTATATAACCAGGTGGTTGACTCAATATAGTTTATTGAATTTCAGAAATGAATTATTTCATGGGGATTTTGTTTGATCTTTGCGACATAATGTTGTAAGAGTTGGTACAAATCTTGTGTGTATTCACACAACTAATTCTATAATCGATTCTGTTGACAACAGTAGGTCATATGTACCAACACATCAATATTTCATAAGGAATGCTTTGTACATAAACACAATACTGCCAAGTGTGCGATTTATTGATCTGTACAGGCAAATTGTGTCAGAGCAAATATTTTGAACGTGTTTGTTAAGTTTTCAGCATAGCTCACCTGGGCTGGAAATATTTGGATGAGATGAGAATTTCCAACTTCACGTTCCGGGCAGCGTTAGAATAGATCTTGATTAACAGAGCTACTGTCAAGAACGAAATTGAATAATATAAACCTTCGTTGAGATGGCCTCTTGTCTTTCCTGATTAGAAGTTTTAACAAACAGATAGGAAATTGAAAGTATGTATTTTTTCAAACACATCATCGATTTGTTAATTTTACAGTAAATATTGAAAATTAAGACAAGAAAAGATAGACTGATTATCTGTGGAGCATTCTCTTCCCACAGAGGTTACTTGTCATATCTTCCTACGAACCTCTGTTCTAATACGGCCATATTTCCCGGTTCTCGTAAAATCCCCTATCGGCCAAAAATCGCAACACGAATTATCTCCTTTCCTTCTATCCAATCAGAACACGTGTTACATCGACTTAGCTCCAACCTGACTAATACAAGCAAATGTGCAGCCTGGTTCCCTGGGTCCGTTGCGCCTGTGTCTGAGCCGTAGCACAGGCACAACGGACCCAGGGAACCAGGCTGGCAAATGTGGGACCACAAATATAAAAAATGGAGACGCCATCGATCCGCCATTACATGACTGAGTTCTGTCTAGAAGAAACGTTTGCGTATCGCGCAGGTGAAGAGGTTCTAGTTTTCCCGAAGCATACGGAAATTACTGAGGCCTTGCGAATGATCACTTTTGAAACAACGTCGCTGATTGCACAACTAAATCTGATTGCAACCAATCACGAGTCCTGAACACTCGCACCATGAAAGGGCCGTATTAGAACAAAGGTTCGTAGGAAGATATGACAAGTAACCTCTGTGGGAAGAGAATTTCTGTGGAGATGAAAAGTGAAATGTTGGTCTCGTATCCTGTGGTATTCTTGGATATGGAGCAGTTTATGACCAATTTCAAACTAGGTGTGTGTGTGTGTGCTTGCGTGTGTGGTTAAAGCATGCGCTTGTCATGACGAAGACCGAGGTTCGATTTCCCACATGGGTACAATGTGTGAAGCCCATTTATGGTGTCCCCGGCTGTGATATGGCTGGAATATTGCTAAAAGTGGCATAAAACTAAACTCACTTACTCACTCAAACTGAGGCAAAGTACAAATTCAAAACATATTAGACCTTATTCATCTGTTTACAAAACAGTACATCAATCAAACCCAACTATCCAATATTGGTTTATAGATGACAGATAGTGAAACTAAATACTCATTTGTCTAAACTAAAGAAACTATGGAATTTGTAGCTTTTGAATAAAACTGAAAACCAATATCAGTCATTAAAGAATCCATTATGAAGTTGCAACAGGCCAACCACAGTTGAGTTGGTTCTGAAATGACAGAAAGGTTTTTATTGAAGTCTGTTCGACAGAATGTGTCTAATCATTTGTCATGAAATTGAATTTCAGTGTGTTTTGCCAGTGTACTTCATGTGAATCAATAACAGTTTCCCTGAAAGGAATTCATTGAATTTTCTTGCAGACTTCAAACAATGGTGGATCTACACTCCTTGTAGTAGCAAATGCTACAAATATCCTGATGATTCCTGCCGAAATGTACCCAGCCATCTTTATTGATTCAGAATATAACAGTCGTTACATGCTGATGAAGTAAAATCTTGCAACATAGATGCTATTTTTTCAGTGTTGATGTTATTTTAAATAACACCTGAGTTATGAATACACCTAATCACCCCACAGTTAGTGAGTGCTGGCAATTAGCTGCCTGACTCAGAGGGTGTGGGTTCAAAAGTACTAGAATCTGTACTTTACTAAGGAAGTGTAATCCCAACACACACGTAACACATGAGTTTTCACTGACATTTTGCTCTCCAATGCTGAAACCCCTGTACCACCGATGTTATCCAATAACAATGTTGAACCAAAGGGCACCTGTTCAAGGCAGAACAGCCACTGGAGGTCCTCACAATATGTTTATTTTAACACTGTTTCAATGCTATCCAAGAATGAAGAATTGAACTGAGACACTGCAGGACAGAGATACAATTTCACTTGCTCACTTCTACTGAGATGACCTGTGAATATATATGGATAGAAAAAGGAAAACCAATTTCTGGAGCTACCAGCTGTGACATACACACAAGGCTACCCAATGACCCTGTCAAATGTACAAATCAGATTTCTCATGCATGAGTGAGTGTGACTACACCAACACCCAGTCACAAATCAGCTTTCTTATGCATGAGTGAATGAGTGAGTGAGTAAGTGCATGCATGAGTGAGTGAGTGAGTAAGGCTACACCCCCACCCTGTTAAAGTTAAAAATCAGCTTTCTTATGCATCAGTGTGTGAGTGAGTGAGAGGGGGGAAATGCTACCTGAGTAAGTAGCTTATCACCACCCTTTCGAACAGCATTGTAAACCAAAAGTCACTGTGTTCTTTAATGTGATTAGTTGAAAAACATGATCAAATGGTATTTGATTCCCGGAAATTCGCTGCGTATTAATACATTCAAACATCGCTCACACCATTGTATTGTTACGTCGTCAGCTGTGATGACGTCATTCAAATCAGATTGTGACGTAAAGTCGGAATGACGTCACAAATGAGCAGTTCCAGATAGTACCATGAGAGACAGCCGAAATGGCCGTCTGATGACATTTCACTGCTGTACTTGTTCTCAATGTCAATGAGTGCAGACACAAAAACGTGTGTGGACCTTTTGGTTTACTTTTGTGTTTACAATGTCGATAAACATCATGTGTTGGCCAATTTCCGGGTGTTATTGAGTATTTGAATCACGGGAATATTTCATTTGAAACATCCGGCTGACGCCATCGGTTCCAAATGAATTCCCCGTGCTTCAAATACTCAATAACACCCGAAAATTGGCCAACACATGATGTTTATCTCCTAAGTATAAAGATCTGGGAGGAAAGCCCTTAGGTCTCCAAAATAAAACAAGACAGGAAATTTAGGACCCATGGCCATGACCATTAAAGTAAAACTTTTAATTGGAGCCACATTATTACATCTTGCATATTTCTGAAATGTCTTCATCATCTAATGTCATTTATAAAGTAATAAATAGTTTTGAGTAGTTCAAAACAAAAAACGTGTAACTATAGGCACAGCATACAAATACAATGTTTCATTATACCTTGTTATTAAAATAGTGCCAAATATTTCTTGAGCCATGTTTGTCCATAGAATCCGATACACATCGGGAAGCAGCTATGTAAAGTTATTGGAATGTTAGTCAATAGTTTATTGAGCAAGCAGCCATTTCATCGATGTAAAGAGCATAAAAGTAGTTCCTTCAGTGTGAAACACTGTCCAATATATGATATACAGAAAATGATTTTGATGCATGTTGACAATTCTTTGGAAAGTCTAGATATCTGTTTCAGGCTGTGTGGGCTAAGAAGAGAAAACCATCATATTTCCACCTAGTGCAAGCAGCCATGCACCCACTTGCATGCACCTTGATGGTACAGATGCACGCACTGACTTACATGCACATTGATGGTACAGATGCACGCACTGACTTACATGCACATTGCTGGTGTAGATGCACGCACTGACTTACATGCACATTGATGGTGTAGATGCACACACTGACTTACATGCACATTGCTGGTGTAGATGCACGCACTGACTTACATGCACATTGCTGGTGTAGATGCACACACTGACATTACATGCACACTGACTTACATGCACATTGCTGGTGTAGATGCACGCACTGACTTACATGCACATTGATGGTACAGATGCACGCACTGACTTACATGCACATTGCTGGTGTAGATGCACGCACTGACTTACAT